GTTCGCGGGCGTGTGCATGTGTGCGTGTGTGTGTGTGAGTGTGTGCGCGGGTGTGCGCGGGCGTGTGCATGTGTCTGAAGCCACGCGTCAGAGGGGGAGGGGTCACTTCAGGTGGTAAGATACTGGCAAAACGTTTTTCTTAGTTCTGGCTATTATTTCCTACTTTCTGAAATTTCTGTAACACATCCTTTTGCTTTTTATAAGTAACAAAACAATAAAACAACCCCCTCACCCCCCCAAAAAACCCAGTGCTCTTGCCGTAGGGTCTGCCCCTCTCGGTTCTAAAAAGTCCCTTCTCAGTCTCTAAGATGAGCATGAATTCGGGCCCCACGTTTGGGCTGAATTGCGCCCGCCTCTTCCCCAGATGAGCCTGCTGCAGCCCTAACCCCAGGCCCTCGGAAGGTGACTGTGTTTGAAGAGGTGACCTAGTGAAAGTGAGCTTAAAAAAAAGTTAAAATGAGGTCGTTAGGATGGGCCGTAATCCAATGAGTGGCATCGTTACAGGAAGAGGAGGTTAGGGCACAGACACACGCAGAGGGACACCCACGTGAGGACGCAGGGGGAAGATGGCCATCTACACGCCTATGACGGAGGCCCGGGAAAGAGCCAACACCTCCCCTCACACCCTGGCGACGCGTGAACCGCGGCCGTGGCCCTCCAGCCTGCAGAGCCATGAGCAGCATCTGTGGATCGAAATACTCGCTCGGTGCTGCTTCGTGACAGCGGCCTGTCCCTGTGCAGCCGTGACCCCGCGTGCCCTTCTTAGGGACCAAGCAGGTGGTTTTATCATTTCCCCACAGACGCAGGGCTGAGCTCCCGCCCGGACGATGGCCATGCTTCCAATGCCAAGCTCCCGAGAGACGCCCAGACCACGGTCAGCCTCGCTGCTGGGACGCCCCGCAGGGCTGCGCTGGGCTGCTGGCCACGGTCACCTGGCAGACCTGAGGACTCTGCGCTGTGAGGTCATGGGCCGCGGGGACTGTCACTCACTTCCTCCTGAGCCATCTTCCCGCTTGTTGGGCAAAGACTGGCCTTTCCCATTTGTGAGGAGAAGGTTGAATTGGGGACTCTGGAAGTCGAAGCCTGAACGTGTGGCATTTTGGCCGTAGAAATTATGACAGTTGACCTGGTCTTTAAATAATGATGGAACCAGGGCCATAGCTACTGAGAGGCAGAGCCACGATGAGAGAGCCTAGGGCTCCTGGAATCACTGAGGGGACCCTCCCGAAACCGCCCGGTCTGGGGAGAGCTGGGGGTGGGGAGGCGGGTGGGCTGCCCGGCGGCCCGGAGCCGGCTCACCTGCAGGAAGCCAGCGGGGTCGTTGTCCTTGATCACCTCCAGACAATACTCCATCAGCCCTGTCGACTGGCGCAGCTTTAGCGTGCAGTGGTTGATCTGGTCCCAGACCATCTGCGAGGCGAGAACCCCGCGTCAGCCAGGCCACAGTGGGGGTCGGAGAAACCACCCAGAGCTGGCGCTGGCCGGGCCAGCCCGTGGCCGCCCTCTGCGGGAGTCAACGCGCCCACCTCCCACAACCCCCAGCAGAGCGACTTCCCACGCCGGGCAGAGAGGCGGAGAAAGTGCGCACCCCGGGGCTCGCCAACTCGGCCCCCCGCCCCGAGCTGGGGGTGCGGGGTGACCCGTGAGCTCGGTGCTCTGGTCCCAGCGCCAGCCCCACCCCCTGCCTTCCCTCCTCCCTGGAGGGGAATATTTTGGGGAAAGTGGATAAGCGGCCGAGCCCGGGACAGTGACGCGTTCCTCGTCAGTGCAGAGTGCTCGCGGACGCCCGCCCGGACCAGGGCCCGGTGTCGTGGGGGTCACAGTATCATGGGAGTCACAGTGTCGTGGGGGTCACAGTATCATGGGAGTCACAGTGTCGTGGGGGTCGCCCTCCTCCCCCTCCCCTCGGTGGGTGGTGGCCGCGTCGTCCTTGCTGACATGATGGACTGCGTGTCACATCACGGAGAGCCTGAGAGGGGGCGGAGCCGGACACCTGAGGCAGGGGGGCCTCGGCCGGAGTCCCTGAGGCAGAAAACAGGCACTTGCACGAGACGGGGAGGCTGGAAGTGACTGGAAAACGGCCGGGCTCAGGGCGTCTGCCTCTGGCTCTGGAGACAGAGCGGGGGTGTCGCCCGGCTGCAGGCAAAGTCGCATGGCCGAGCGTGGGCCCAGGGACGGCTGGCCACCGCCGCCCAGCTTCACGCGCTCACCCACGCCGCCCCCGTGCCAGCTGCGTGCTGCGTCACCTGCACGGGGCCCCACGGCGCCTACCTTCAGCTTGTGCTCCCTCTCCTTGGTGACCTTGGTGAGCAGCTTGGCCTTCTGCCGAGTCAACGCGTCGACCAGCGCGTCGCACTGGGCCACGAGGCAGGCTTCGTAGTCCAGCCCATTTTCCTGGGGAGGCAGAGAGCTTGAGGCAGAGGACGTGTCGGAACACGGAGGAGCCCGCCCGGCCGTCTGCGCGCGACCTCGTTGGACTGAAGCGGGGTGAGCACGGATGGCGGGGGCGGGGGCGCCGCGTCCCGCCGTCTCCGTGGGGAACATCCCGCTGTCACGCAAACTCTGGGCAGAGAGCGCTTCGGTGTCAGAGGAAATGCTCACGAGGGACTGTCCAGGAGGAGGGGCAGGTCCCAGTTGACGTAGCGCAGCCCCGTCCGAGCCGTGTGTGTGTGAGCGTGTGCGCGGGCGTGTGCATGTGTCCGTGTGTGTGTGTGAGCGTGTGCGCGGGCGTGTGCATGTGTCCGTACATGTGTGTAAGCGTGTGCGCGGGCGTGTGCATGTGTCCGTACATGTGTGTGAGCGTGTGCATGTGTCCGTGTGTGTGTGAGCGTGTGCGCGGGCGTGTGCATGTGTCCGTGTGTGTGTGAGCGTGTGCGCGGGCGTGTGCACGTGTCCGTGTGTGTGTGTGAGCGTGTGCGCGGGCGTGTGCATGTGTCCGTGTGTGTGTGTGAGCGTGTGCGCGGGCGTGTGCACGTGTCCGTGCGTGTGTGTGAGCGTGTGCGCGGGCGTGTGCACGTGTCCGTGCGTGTGTGTGAGCGTGTGCGTGGGCGTGTGCACGTGTCCGTGTGTGTGTGTGAGCGTGTGCGCGGGTGTGCGCGGGCGTGTGCATGTGTCTGAAGCCACGCGTCACATGGGGAGGGGTCACTGCAGGTGGTAAGATACTGGCAAACGTTTTTCTTAGTTCTGGCTATTATTTCCTACTTTCTGAAATTTCTGTAACACATCCTTTTGCTTTTTATAAGTAACAAAACAATAAAACAACCCCCCCACCCCCACAAAAAAACCCAGTGCTCTTGCCGTAGGGTCTGCCCCTCTCGGTTCTAAAAAGTCCCTTCTCAGTCTCTAAGATGAGGATGAATT